TGGCTTTGCTCTTTCTTAGATTCTTCAGAAAAAGTCTAATTGGTGCTTCACAATACTCATTAACTCAGCACAGTGCTCAGATAGCCTTAGAATTATGTAAATCCTCCAGTCTTAATCTTCTTCTCAAGTGCTGACATTACAGGCATAAGCCACTCTGTCCAACTCTGGCATTGTCCAACTCTGAATAAGTATTTTTAAAAGTCTTACTTAGCCTGTGCCACTACCTTGAACACCAGCACATCACTGAACCACTCATGTCTCTGCTTCTGTCCACACAGCCCAACAGAGCTCTGTCTAGTGTATGATGTAAACTTTGGTTACATTGGATAACAAATCTAAAATAGTAACCAATTTATAACTGTGTTTCCCATCACAAATTCATAAATGATTTAAACAAAACTAAGATTTGACATAAAAGACATGGATGCCATTGAAATGAATACAAGGTGAGTTCAGGCACTGTTTCTAACCAATCTCTTTCTGATAAGCAGGTTCATTTGTTATTAGAGACTGAAGAATACAAGTTCAAGAAATTCAAGTTCAGGAACCATCAAGATGGCTCAGTCCATAACTTTTGCTACGAAACCTGATGACTAGAATTCAGTCTCTGGAACTCACATCCTGGAAGGAAAGAATTGACTTCCGTAGGTTGTCTCTGGTGTCCACATGCTGACTGTGGCATGTGTGCCCCTGCCAATACAATGAATAAAATAAAAATAAAATGTAAATGAATGAGAAGAAGAGGAAGAAGAGGAAGAAGAAGGAGAAGGACAAGGAGAAGGAGAGGGAGAGGGAGATGGAGAAGAGGGAGAAGAGGGAGAAGAGGAAGAAGAGGAGGAAGAAGGAGAAGGAGAAGAAGAAGGAGAAGAAGGAAAACAACAATGACAGGAACAATAATAAGAAGAAATTACAATAGGAGAGGTATGTAATGCCAGGTTTTGGAGCAAATGCTTGCATGGTCTAAGGATAAATTGCTAGTATTATCAATGCTTTTCTTTAGTCTGCAGTGTTGAATTTTAGAGGAGAGTTCATGAAGCAAGTCATTCATCTAATAACTTGCCTTTCCCATGTACATTTCCATTTCATGCTTCTTACACATTTCACATATCTATTGAATTTGTCTTCTATGGTCATGCTGATTGCCATCCTTTCTGCTTCAGCCTTTAAAGTATTGATCTTTGCTTTTCAATTCCCTGTCTAGAATGTGTCTGGTTCATCTCCATCTGATTTTAAAGGCTTTCCTTTTGGGATCTGTCTTAGTGGGTGCTGCCTGTTCCTTGGGTGGCTGGGCTCCCTGCCCCCATCTCTGTGGCATCTGCCTGGCATCAGTGAGATCTCATATGTGAAGCAATTTCCTGTTTGCTAGCTGAGGTCTTTGATTTTCCACCACTGAGTCTATGTTACAAGGTGGTTTCCTGCTTCACTTCTAGAAGCAAATGTCTTTAACTATTACCAGTGTGGAGTATAGACAGCCTGGCGAGCAGCTGAACTTCTTTTCTCATGCCTAGAACAAATGGAGTAGCTTGGGGTGCAAGGCCCCAAAGTGGTAGAGAGCAGTCAGAATGTTTGAATGCTTTGCCCCTGGCTGCTTGTCTTTACCTTGGTCCTAGAATAAGGACACTACATGGGTTTGTGTCTGTTCCCAAAGAGAAAAAATCACCATCCATTTTACTCAGCAAAAATCAGGGGAAGAAAACACTGGAGCTCTCAGGCACCAACTGGCTATATATTTTCTTTCTGATGCCGTCTTGTTTCTCTTTCTTGGCTCTGAGCTCTCTTGGGTTGCTATTTTCATTAAATACGGTCTCACTATGAATCCTTGACTGATCTCAAACTCACTATATCAACCAGTCTGGCCTTGAACTCATAGAAACCTTCTTGTTCCTGCCTCCTGAGTGCTGGGATTAAAGGCATGCACCACCACTACTAGAATCTCCTAGAGTTTTATTCCTTGCAATTACTTTGCATCTTAAGAACAACAAGCCTGATTGGTGAACATTTTAAGATGAAGAAGTGAAGCTACATTACAGACATTGTCTTTGCTCTTATCATAGCACTACATGGAGGATTCTGAGATAAAGACCCAAAGTAATATCAATACAGCCAGATCAAGACAACCAAGATAGATACCACAGAACCCCACTGACCCTCGCTTTGTTTCTTTTTCCTGCTGTTATAAACACGTTGAAGAAAGATGTTAAGTCATTAGACTTCTGTTCTTGTGGGTGTGCTAATGCTTCAATAAAGCCCCTTCCTATCACCACTGCTGGTCTGAGTGCCTTTCTAGAATCAGTGCTGAGCTCTGTCTGTCAGGACTCCTGGATCTAAGGCTTTTGCCTTGACTCCAGAATCAGAGGGTCCACTCTAGAGTTCTCCAGAACCCCTAGACCTTAGCAGGCCATGCACCTCTGTGATAGACAGAGAACATATATGATCAGGGTCTACTCCTCTTTTCCAATCTTTCCATGGAACAGCTAGTAGGAACTCAAGAGAAAGTGATTGTCAAGTGAAAGTTTTCTCTCTTGATCTGGGGCTACAAGAGGCTCTAACACCTCAGGGTATATTCATCACATAGTATTGGAAATTGGGTAAAGTTTTAAACTGCTCTAATTGTTGAGGAATATTCTTTACACTGTGTGAAGATGTGTCATTGTGACGGGTTTAATAAAGAGTTTAATGGATATTAGCTAGGCAGGAAAAGGTTAGGCAGGATTTCTGGAGACAGAGAAGTCTCAGGAAAGAGAAAGGAGGAGTCACCAGCAAGACTGAGAGTAAGCAGAATGGGGTATACAGAGTAAAGGCAACCACATAAAAGATTAAAAAATATGAGTTAATTTAAGTTATAAGAACTAGTTAGGAACAAGCCTAAGCTAAGGTCAAGCTTTTATAATTAATAATAAATCTCTAGGTCATTATTGGGGAGTCAACGATCCCAATGAAAAAGACTGACTATTTATAGTGGCAAATGCCTTCATGCCTGTGAGTCACTTGTCTGGAGAGCTTATCTATTTAAATATAACCACAACGTGTTAAGTCGGCTTTCCCCTAGCCACAGTGGAATCTGTTTACATTTCAAAATTAACTCAATTTCCTGACCAAGTATAACACTCTCTGCATGACACTGGAGATGATTATTATAGAAATATCAAGTCATTTTCTAAACACATCATGAAATGTATCTAAATATATTATACTTATTCTCATGTTTTCCTTATTTAACTGTCTTTTTAAAACATCTAGTTCTGGTAAAGTTACTGACACTGCTATCAGAACCAAATTTCCCTCCTCTGTGGCCTATTGTATCAACCTGCCTAACCTTCTAGTTTGGCTTTTATATTTTATGGCTGTCTAAATTGAGTTCTTGGAAGCAAGTGGGATTTTATTAATCACTTTTTGGATCTTCAGATTGAATACAGTGTCAGGAAGATAGGAATGTCCCATTTTTGTTTCTTGAGTTTAAGCCTAACTTTCTTTAATTATTCAATGAATCAGAATACTCCCCCTCACCCGGGTCCCCTGGACATGCTGTTAGCTAATAACTGCCCCTAGTCTCTTTATCACTGTTTTGCAATTTCTGTCTTACTTTTCAAGCTATGTGTGAAAAATCTTTAAGGGGTGAGTTGAAGTTATTTTCCTTAAGCAAAGCATTGCTGGGTGGCTGTGTTGCACAGTGGATGCACACTAGACGTGTAAAATGAAGTGTTGCTGGTAGAGTATTATTTGCTTTTGACTTCAGAGTCGTTTGACTGCAAATACTGTTAGTGAGACATGGGGCTGTAAGCTTAAATGAAGGCTCTTTCATGGATACAAATGCTTCATGGAGGTTTGCATCCTGCCCCCCACCTCTTTAGAGGTAAGGATTGCAAGGATCCTTGATGCTGCTTTCTAAAGTGTGGTTCTTATTTGTTATTCCTTGAATAAGCTTCTAGCTTTTGGGGAAATTCCTCATTCAGGTGATCTCTAAGCTAAACCTCATATTTCCAAGGAGTCACAAAAACTTTCTAAAGAGAAATCCAAGGCTCCCCAGGTTTGCTATAACCTTTCACATGAAAGCCAGGTTCTATGGTTGCTTTTCTGTTATGATTCCCTGTTTTATTTTCTTATGGTATTCTACAGATGTGTTTTTACCTGCCTATTGGTTTATATTTTTATATTGCAAAATATTTTTAAAACCATGTCATAAAACTTTCTATTTTTAGATTTATCTTTATTTTTTGTGTGAGTGCTCATCTTCATGCTTGTGTGTGTGCACCATGTGTATGCAGGCATCTCCAGAAGCCAGAAGCGAGTGTTGGAGCCTTTGGAACTGGAGTCACAGGTGGTGTGAGTTGTCATGTAGGTACTTAGAACTAAACCTAGTGTTCTTCACCTCTGAGCCTCCTCTCCAGCCCTTCTTTTTAAATTTCAGTAAGACCTAATATCTGGCTGTCTTCTCCTCTGGTCTCAGCTTGTTTGGGGTACTATTATAAAATACCCAGACAAGTTGTAAATAACAGAAATCCATTTCTCATAATTATGAATCCTGGGGAATCTTATACCAGGGTAAAAGCATCTGTTGAGTTTGCTGAGGGCATCTTGTAGGTTGTACATCAGAAGTTTCCTGTATTCTCTTGTAGCCAAAAAGGAGAGAAGTCTCTGTGGGTATTTTCTTAAGAGATAATCTCACTCACAAGGCTTCACTCTCATGACTTAAAATGTAATGTTCCAATGCTTATGTCCTAGTATTAAAAGAATACTGGGAGTTGGGATTTTAAATATGAATTTTGGACATACATATTCAGTGTACAACATTATACCCATGGTCCCAGAAATTCATTTTCTTACCCATTTCACCTTAACAACTGCAGAGCTTTCAATTCCCACCAGTGTCACCTTGTCACCTTTCAAACTTCAAGTCCAAGGACTCATCTAAATTTGACCCAAGTCAAATGTGAATCAGACAATCAAAATTCTCTTCTAGTTGTGACTTGTAAAGTGAAACAAGCCATTTATTTTCAAAATTCAGTGGTGGGACTGGCCTTCAGTAGACATTGCCATCTCAACAGGAAAACACAAGAAAAAAGGAGTGGAGAAGTCCCAAGAAAGCACAAAAATCAACAAGGCAAGCTCTATGAGATCTTCAAGTTGCAAAAGCAGTCCTGCTTGCCCTTACTCAAACTGTGCCCTACCAGACAGAAGCCTCCTTTCATGAACCACTGGGATGGCAACAATGCTGGGCACAGTGTTGACGACCCTGTGGTTCTCTGCTGCGGTCCCACTCAGCATGCAGTTTTGTATAGTGCTGGAGCTTACAATGCCATGCTCCTATGGGGCTGTTCTCTCCCACTCTCACAGCTCCCCTATGTGTTGGTCCCATTTTGAAATCGAGGCTCCTCCTTGCCTCCTTCTCCTAATGCTAGGCAGATTGGAGAATGGTGTGAATGGTAGCCTTGATGACCTTTGAGTTAGCTTCCCTTGTTTTAAGGGACACAGAATGTTCATCTAATCATTCTGTGGCTTGTTTCTGCAAGGCATAGGCCTGCAGTTTTGTGTTGGACATATGTTCTGTCTCTTTTATTTTTAGTCCCAGTTTTTCCCGGGATAATTCCTTCTCTTGTTCTGGCTGTTGCTAAGATGGTTAATGAAGTTCTTACACTGCCTTCTTCATGCAGATGTATGTGTTTTGAGCTGAACAGTTTTCTGTGTAGGCCTTAAAGCTTGAGCCATAGACAGCACAGGATCCGCTCTGCATTTCCACCAGTGTTAACCTGGAATAGAGAGAGTGGTATGTGACTTGTTTACGGTATCCAGACTTGTTTAATGAAGGATACAAACATGGAATCTTGTTTGTAGGATTTGAATGTGGGGATTTCAAATACATGTCACATTTTAGCACCATGTTTAGCCCTTCTAACTTACACACATCCAAAATAGAGCCAATTCAGATAATAAAAATAATAATAATTAGTCAGACACAACTGACTAATACTCTAAACAAATCCCACATCTGTACTGAACATGTACTTTGTATTTTGTCCTGGAGATATATATATATATGTAAAAATGTCTTTAAAAATTTGTTTGTTGTTTTGTTTTTGTTTTTTGAAACAGGGTTTCTCTGATTAGCCTTGGCTGTCCTAGAACTCTATATGTAGACCAGGCTGGCCTTAAACTCACAGAGATTCACATGCCTCTGCCTTCTGAGTGTTGGGATTAAAGGTTTGTGCCACCACCGCCTGGCTCTTTTGGTCATACCAGTCATTAATCACCTTACAATTCTAAATTGTCTATATGTGTACCTGAGTAAAAAAACTTCAACATGTTTCTTTAATAGTAAATATTTACATTATAAATAGATGTAGAACTAAACTTAGAATTTATTGCTGTAGTGTTTTGTGCAAAAATACGCAATTTTCCACAAGTAAACAGATTATCATTGTCAGATACAACTGACTAATACTCTAAACAAATCCCACATCTGTACTGAATATGAACTTTGTATTTTGTCCTGGATATATATATATATATATATATATATATATATATATATACAATATTATATAATATATACAATTAATACAATATAAAAATGATTTAAATTGTACAGAATTGTCCATAGTCTACATGCAGATTCTATGCCATTCTGAATAAAGATGATGATCATTCATGGAATTCAGTGTCTATGGAGAGAGTGAGACTTTGGAATCAGTCACCCATGGCTACCAAGGGGTGACTGCATACACAATATTACTTGGTAAAAAATCAGAAGTATTTGTAATTTCCTCAACACAATCCACATATATACATATAAATAACTGTGTATGTGTATATGCATTCATTCATGTATGTGTGTATGTGTGTGTGTATGCTTCTGGTGTATATGTGTGAGCTCGTGTGCACATGCATGTGTGATGAATGCGGTGTGTGTGTGTGTGTGTGTGTGTGTGTGTGTGTGTGTGTGTATGGTGATGTAGTGTGGTGTATGTGTGCTGACACATGTGTGTATGCATGCTAATGTGTGTGTTTTACTTTTGTCTTGACATTTGGAATTCCATAGATTAACAAGTGAACTTTTTCTTCTTCTAAGAAAAAGTCAGAAGTAGAAGACTCAATAAATCAATAATGTCACTTCAGAGTGAAATTGAAAACTGAAAAGACAGTGATCTGATGTTATCCTCATTTAATGGGATGAATTTCTATTAGGAATTTTCTTTGTGGGTTTCAATCCAAGCACATTAAAGCATCCATTATTAATTTTTAATTGTCACTATAATTGTATGTATATGTGGGGTATAACCTCATGATGTGATACACTTAAATGTCATGTACTGAGCATATGAAGATGTTTAGCATCTCTGGGGCCTCATGCATTTGTTATTTCTATTCTGCCATTATACAACATAGTGCCTATAGCTAGTAATAAGTTACATCATTTTTAAAATATCTATAAATGTAAAAACAGAAAGGGGGCTACTAGGAATGGAAGAGTGTGGTGATATTGTGTTCCCCAGTGTATTGTGTACCTTAATAAACTTATCTGGGGCCAGAGAACAGAACAGCCACTAGATAGACATAGAGGCCAGAAAATGGTGGCACACATGCCTTTAACCCTAACATTCCGAAGGCAGAAATCCATCCGGATCTCTGTGAGTTCAAAGCCACACTGGAAATAGCCAGGCATAGTGACATACGCCTTTAATCCCAGGAAGTGATGGCAGGAAGCAGAAAGGTATATAAGGCGTGAGGACCAAGAACTAGAGCTGGTTAAGCTTTTAGGCTTTTGAGCAGCAGTTCAGCTGAGATCCATTTGGATGTGGACTCAGAGGCTTCCGGTTTGAGGAAAGAGGATCAGCTGAGAAGTTGGCAAGGTGAGGTTACCTGTGGCCTGTTCTGTCTCTCTGATCTTTCAGTGTTCACATCTGGCTCCAGGTTTGTTTTTATTAATAAGACTTGTTAAGAATCATGCTACAGAAGGCTACAGCTTATTGTACATCAGTTTTATCTCCATAATTCTAGTCACAAATATTCAAATAAAAATATGTGGTGCTTCATCCTCCTATCTATAAAATGAACATAATATAAGATCAATCTTTCTCAGCACTTAGCCCAAAGTAACCAATTTATGCTACTCGTTAATGTTCATGTTGGCTACTCTGCCACTCTCCCTGCACTTTAGGTTTAGGGTCTAAGTATTTTTTCAAACTCTACTAGAATATGATAATGCATCAGATTGTGAAAATGAAACTGACAAATGAGTGCTCATAGGGGCAGCTGAACAGACACCCAGCTCAAAACCTGCTGGTCTGAGACTCACTGGTCGGATGAGAGAGGGGAGCCATCTTCCCACTCCCAGGAGCCATTTTCTTTGGTCTGGACTAGTCCCATCCAGTGATACGACTTTACCAGCTTAAAGAAATCCTATCAGAAACCATAAGAAAAGTAAGATGAAACCCGTGCTCAGAGCATCAGAAACACAAACCCACATCACTCACTTCCCACTTGGGGAAGGATGCATTGTCCCGGGGCCAGCATAATTCTCATTTAACCATAGGTAATCGCAAAGTATCTTTGCTCTCTTAATTTTTCTCTCTTTGGAGGTGGTCAACAGTTGTGTGGTGTGTATGCTTACGACTGTGCAGCAGATCATTCCTCACATAGAAGGTAGGACAAGACATCAAGTATCTTCCTCCATTTGCTCCCTACCTTATTGCCTTGAAATATGACCCCTCACTGAAGCAAAAACCTTTTCAGCTAAGCTGTCTGGCTAGGAGCATTTGGGATCTACCTGTCTCTGACTCCAGTGCTAGGGTTACAGACATGTGCAGCAATGCCTGTTGGGTGCTGTGGGGTTTGTGTTTGCATTCTCAAGTTTTCAGAATAAATAATTTAGCTCACTAAGCCCCCTCCCCAGCTCCTACTTCCTTAATTTTTATCAGTATTGTCTGGAGTGCATGTTAGAACATCTTTGTGCTTCTTGTATGTTCCAGGCTCAATCTCCAGTGAGTTACCCACCTCATGTATTAGAATTAAGTGGAATTAAATACCCAACCTGGTCCTCTTGACTGTATATCTTCAGAAGGCTGGAATTTTGAGACAAACAGGAAGCTTGACTCTGGTTCCAGTTTTTTCTCTCATTAAAAAAATGGTAACAGTTGTTTCTATAATATATCCAGTTGTTAGGGCATTGGCCACAGTGACCTTCTAGAAAGAGAATAGATTAACTCTATGAATACCTGACTATTGAAGCAGATTTTATCTGGGCAAGTTAAACACCTCTCCTGTTCCAACTCTGAAGTTCTAAATAATTGAATCATTATAATATAAATGAAGGAATGTCCCCAAACTAAGGGTTTTCTACTATTTATTTATTATCTCTTCTTTTACTGAAAATAGGTTCTTTTTATTTATTTATTGCTTTTCTTTTACTGAAAATAGATTTTTTCTCATACAATATATACTGATTATAGTTTCCCCTCCCCTACTCCTCCTAGCACCTCCAACCTCCCCTCCCATCCAGATCCATTCCCTTTCCATCCCTCGTTAGAAAATAACAGGCGTCTAAGAGATAACAACCAAATATGACAAAATAAAATGTAATAGATGAAGCAAAATCTATAATTTATCCATTGTTGTTTCCAGATAGGGCCTCATGTAACCCATTCTGGCTTTGAGCTCTACACAGCCAAGGTTGGCTGTGAACTCTTGATCCTCCTGACTCAACCTGTGAAGTGCTGGAATTAAAGGAATGTAATACCCTGACTGGATCTTCTACCCACTACCTGGCCTCCACAGTTAAAAGCAATAAATTTTATAGTGAGTTGTAGACAAAACCCAACTATTTTATTTCTGTCTTTTGAATGCCTAGTACACATAGCTGTTTGCAATTTGTGTTTAATGTTAAAAAGATTCACTCACCTCTTGAAGAAATTGGAACCTCATTGTTGCATAACACTATCAAAATAATTATAATTTTTAAAAGTTAGTAACTTCTACTGCAAGCAAAAGTGACTTTTATGTTTGTAGAACAGCAGCACTATGGTAAAAAAAAAAAAAAAAAAAAAACACTTTCACTATTGCTACTGTGTGCTTCCATACTTAGTTTTAGCTTTTACTTCTTAAACTGCGTGTGTGTGCCCATCTGCACGTGCCTGTAGGCATGTGTGTGAGGGCACCTATGTGCCATGGAATGAGTATAGAGGCCAGAGAACAACTCTGTGGAGTGAGTTCCTCCTTCCACTTTTCTGAGCTGTCTGGGGATCAAACTCGGGTTGTTAGGCTTATGCAGAAAGTACCTTTACCTGGCTGACCCATCCCTCTGGTCCTCAGTGTGCTTCTGAAGTCTAATCAAGGTAACACATTACACCCCACTGATTAACTTACAGGTTATGAAAAGGGCAAACCATATCAGTGTGATAATAACGAAGCGTATTGCCATGGCTGCAGCAATGACTCGGCGAACGAACAATGGAGATACTGTCAAAGGAAAACAGGCAAGGTCAAAGCAAAAGGCAGGCTAACGGACAACCCTGTTTCCGGCTTAGTATAAATGCTGGTATGCATCTTTATGAAAAGGTAGAGGAAGTGCTTTTTCTTAGACCAAGCAGAGTAAATGCTCTATAAATGACTTAAATATAAGAGTACAAAATGTGGTAACCACTTCCATGATTCTTTGCAAGTTTTCTAAACCTTTTTTTTCTTTGTTAGACAAAGTCTATCTCTGTAGCTTCAGACTGTATACAAATTTGCAATCTTCCAATCACAGATCCTGAGTTGTGGGATTACGGATCATACCACTATTTTCCTCTCTTAGAATAAATCACATCTCTCAATTTTATTTTCTATGTAGATATAAAAGTTATTAAATATGAATACTCTTATAATCATGGTTTTAAAAACATGCATTTCAGATATTAGGAAAATAATCTATATGTTTTTTGTTAGGACAACATTCTAGGATCGTGCCATATTTTGATATATAAAGAGATGAAATTGCATAAATACTTGTATTTACTTTCACTGATATTTGCACCAAGTCTTTTAATAGACTTTTAGTTTTCTCAGTGGACATTTCAGTTGTATTTTAAGTCTTAGTGTTAGAAATGATAATATGTTTCATACTCACTTTTGAATTCTTCTATAGGGGAGTTTCTTCTTATGATAGCTAGTGTATGAAAGGACACACCCTTGTTACATTTTCTAGTGACTGAAAATTTCAATACACAAAGCTTACACTAATTTTTACAGTGGAACAGACAAATGAAATTCTCTGCTCAGTTGTATCTACCTCAGTAGTGAACATTATTTACGTGTTTTAATGTATAAACTTAGTGCGCAAATTTTTCTGTTTTGATTTTTTATTTCCTGTTATGAATAAGTTGAGGAATTTTTACTTATGTTTAAATAATACTTTTTTATTTCTCTGAGGCCTTTCTTGTTTTTATTGAGTTACTGGCTTGTTCTATACTTCTCAGTTGGTGAATATGACACCATACCTTGTCATATATTTTGCATACATATGTTACAGATATCATTTCCATTTATGATACCTTCACAGGGATGGAATTGCTTATTTTTCCCAGGTTAATTTGATCAAACTTCCCTTAATGGCTCATGTTTTTTAGATATGAATAAAATGCATTTATAATAATGTCACATATTTACTGTTATTTGGGCCATTTAATTTTGTGTGTGTGATATTTGGCAGAAATGAAATTTACAGGAGGCATTCTTTGTAGAATGCACACAGAACTTTTCTAGCAGTACTTATAGAATAAATCTGTGTCTTGTCACTCATATGAAGTGCTTTCATTAGCATATTATGGCCCTACTATATATGTATTATTCATACATCTGCTAATCAGCCTGCCTGTTCCATACATGTGCAATTTTCCTACCTTCATAAAATGCTTGAATATTTAATAGTGCCTATCCTATAACAGCATATTTCCTTTCCTTTTCATATTAGTATGAGTATTACAGCACTTTATTTATGCCTTAAGACTTTAAATGAAGGGCTGGAAAGTTGTTTCACCAATTAAGAGTGCTTTACTATTCTTCTACAGGCCCTGAGTTCTGTTCCCAGATCATAATAACCTGTGGTTCCAGCTCCTGGGGACTTGACACCCTCTTCTGGATTCCATGAGCACCTGTACTCATCTGTACACACACACACACACACACACACACACACACACACACACACACACACACACGAAGAAATAAAAATAAAGCAATCATTTTAAACAAAATCTTTAAAATGAACTTTTCAAGACTGTGGCACTTTTAAACTATGGTGTATTGATATCTAAATAGAATCATTTTAACTGTGTATACATATGAAGATTTTATTTGTAAGGTGCTGTCTTTATCTTTGAATAGTTTCTATTTCCATTCTCTGTGTTTTATTCTATATTCATGAGCAATTTGAAGTAAGCAATAGAGTCATTTCTAGATTACTTTTAATATAAAACTTTTTTTACTTTTATCTTTAATCTTTGTTCAGAAAATTATTTGCATTATACTTTGTTTATATTTTATTTAGAAAATAACTTGATTTTCATTTGTGTCTTAATTTTTGTTAAGCCTACATTCAAATTCTATTACTACTAATTTTAACATTTAAGAAGTATCCATTTACAAGTTTTCAAGTATTTTGATTAATATCTTTTACAAATAAAATATTTTTGCTTTAAATTCTGATGTGATAAATATCACATTTTTACCTGTCTTGAATAGTAATTTAACAATATTGAAACAATGCTCAACAATGGCAATAACAGTATTTTTGCATTTTAATAATTACATTGAAATGTCCTCCTGACATTTAATAGTATAATAAGGGATGTTTTTCTATAGTCTATGTGTCTATACACTCATATACATACTAAAAAAGTTTATGTTTATTGAAATTTGAAGATCAAAGTCTCATAAAATGAGAATTTGTATCAAATTTTATTCAATGTCTGTTCAACATCATGTACACAACTACATAAGCATTCACTTTGGTTATTACATGTCACATGATTGAATTCCCAAATTACCTCTTTAAAATAATGTTTGTTACTAATTTAATTTTTAGTTTTTAATCTTTCTCTTTAAATGACTTATTCCATCACATTTTTGAAACAGTGTCTCATGTAACCAAGCTGACCTTGAACTCTTTATCACTGAGGACAACCTGACTTCCCAATTCCCTTGCATCTACTTACAAAGTCCTGGGTTGACAGGCATGTGTGACCACACCAGGCTCAGGTTTTCCCCTTTGTAAAAACTATCACATATTTTAGTCAGGCTTGAAAATAGTTTGAGTACAGATTGTCTCTACTACATTCAGAAAGATCTCTGAAAATTGCTACAATTTATTGCTTCTATCATGCTTAAGAAGATAGTTGGATGTTTTTTAAGTTTTCTTTTCTATGGTTTTTAGATATTCTTACTTAAAGGTAAACCACCCCTCATGTTCTCCTTTCATTTGTCCTTATGACAAATTATCTCATCACCTGTAACTTGATTTTAATTCCTAATATTATTTTAGAGCAAATACAACTTACTTCCCTGGGGAGGTAAGAATGAGTGCTGTCACTGACAGTAGCATGGTTTCTACATTCACATCAGTCCCCAGGAGGAGACGAATGGAACCGAGACTTACCACTCTCTCTGGGTTGTCTGGTAGGTAGTGCGGATCTTTGTTTCGGCCACCCTTGAGAAGCACCCCTCTTTGTTGGTTTGAGTTTGTAGTTATGACATTTGTTCATCTCTGGAGAAAATATTTCAAGCTGACACAACTCCATGGACTTTCTGCCATTTGAAGAATAAGTTTCTACCTTTCAGTTTGTGTTTCTATCTATGGATATACTTCCCATGAGCATCCTTTTAAGAGACAGCATGAGTTTTCTTTTGCTTTCTGTTATCTCATTATTAAGATGCTTATATTTCGTAACATAGATATAACAATCTTTATTCCTTGGAGATTTAGTGTCAGCAAAATAATATGTACTTTTGAAGTAAACCAATTCACAATGTAACATGAAATCTGACATCAAAACAAACTTTATATAATGAGAGGAAATAATATAGGAAGACAGACCTAATTATACCATACACCCAGATGTAATAATAATAAGCAGAAGTAATTCAAAATCTGTATTAAGTTTCCTACATCACAGAAGATAAAAGGTATCAGCACAATATCCTAGGGACATCATAACAATGAAGTGAAATGTGATTAACTTGGTATCAATAATGATAACTGCATACAAACAGTAAATCTAAAGTGCCAAATTTCTTGAGAGTCAGGGACACACAAAGGCCTAAATAGTAGACTCCAAAGTCTCAGAATAAATTTGAATAAGTACGACAGTCTTGACTTTGAAGAAAGCAAGTTAAACAAAGCCATTTAGCTGTTTTCTTGAAATTTCCATCATTAATTGAATCATTTTGTAAAAGAAAAGACAGTATCCATATTCTTTTAGGCTTAAATATTAGCCCTAAACACTGCTTGCACATAATTTCATTGTTAACATGAAGAAAATAGTACCAGTTATTATATTGGGTGAAAAATTTGAATACCAGAGATACTCAGCATAATATTATTTATTTTCATGATGTTAGAAATTATGAATAATTCATAACACTTTTAGAATAATAAGCACTTTCAAATTCTATATTCTATGTGTTGCATAGTCTAGAATTCCACTCAGGTAAATCCAGGAGTCTTTACTTTTTGCTTGGTAGAAAAGGAAATAAAAATCCACAGAGCCTTTGGACTGTCCCAATTTTAAAATGGAAAGCTGGGAAAGACTGATTAAAACTCAGCTCTTTTGACTTCAAGTTCTCATGTCCATTCATTATTTCAAGCTATCCTGTTATAAATGACTTCATAGTAGATAGATGGTGAAGTAAATAGGAAAACTCTTTTCACATTCACAAAAACTAAATTTTAAGTAAAATATAAACAACATAAAATAAATATAATGAGAATGGCAGTAAGTAGCTTCCAAGGCCTTCCATTGTTTTATATTACAAAGCAGTAAACTTATACGCTTACATGCACATTATGTACCTGGGCTGAGCTGAGATTTTCGATCATGAATTACTGTCATTGTGTGAGGATTATGACACATTTACTTCACGAACAGATCCAGGTTCTGGTTTTTGTTATTTAGTTAACTTTTTGCTTTGAGACAGTGTGTCTCTATGCAGCCTTGGCTATCCTAGAATTCACGACATAAACCAGGCTGGCCATATTTACTAAAGATAGCCTGTCTCTGCCTTTTGAGTGTTGTAATTAAAGACATGTGTCACCACTCTTGGCTCTGATCTAATTTCTATAATGCACAAAGGACTCTTGAAAAAATAAGGTAGAGTATACAGAATTTTTTTCTGATATCTTTGTACTGAGATGAAATATTTTTGCTGAATAAGTAAAATACAGAAAAAATCCCCTAAACATGAAATAATAGAAGTAACAAGGTAAGGGGAAATTAATTAACATTTTATTGTAACATAAAGACTCATTGTTTCTAAATACCATAAAAACATAATAAATATTTTTAATTCACTTACATTGAGATACTTAGTTGAAAATTTATTTGGCTTCCTGATGTTGAACATCAGCACATACAATTTTCTGTTTGTTTTATTTTGTGATGAATATTTTTTGTAAGATAAATTCATGTCAGATACATGAATTTCTGTGATACATTTTCTTGTTATCTTTTAGTAACTTAAAACTTCTGTCTTTTCATGAGTGTGGAGTTGTGTTATCTCAGAAGCAAAAGCACCTTCCATAACATGTGAGAATTCTCATTCAAACATCAGCCTTTTAATCCCCAAAAGATATTTTTCTTAAGAGGTAGGGCTTATTATCTCAGCAACACAACTTCTTACTCTTCAGTAGATATGGCCTGATTATGAACACTGGATATTGTGATAAAGAATATATCAATAAGTCAGACAAGAAAAATACTCTTTTCATTCAGCAATTCTACTCAAACCCTTAAGCTAGAATTACCTTATAGTGTAAATAATTATAGAACTTTCCTAACTTGACATAAAACTTTTATTTCTTGGAAAACAGTTGTTAGAAACACATGCATAAGCATGTACACTCACAGACCTGGGCAGAGAAGGGAAGTCCTGTTTCTTGTGAATCAAAGCCTTCTACTCAACTAGAAAATGTAGCCTTGTCCCCAGAAATGAATTGGAACTGAAAGTAGAGATGTCTGGGTAATTTCTATCTCTGAGACTGATAATGTAGAGGTTAGTCTCTTCTTCCTGTAATGAAACATCATAAAACCACAACACTTTTGTATTTCCTGTGCACACATAGTTTGACTTACTTGGTGAATGAGGTTTGATCACAGTTTTTGGATAAATGTCATGCCCTAACACCATTTTAGGGCTTGAAAATTATGATTTTAATGGTAGGAAGTAGTATGGAGTTATATAAGATGGGAATCAAAAGTAAAAACAATGTAAAACATGATTTTCAATCTCTGTTTGAAATTAAACAGAAGAAAAATAAATACATTCATTACTCACCCTGTGCACAAGCTTTGGTTCATTTGATTGGGATCAAGTCTGCTGCATTGTGTAAGTTGGAACCATGAAACTATCTTTCCTGATCACACATAGAAACATGCACACATATATGTTATATGTATGCTATGGAACAATCTTTTTGTACACTGAATATTTGTTGTTCTCATTGGCTTAATGAAGGGCTAAATGGTCAATAGCTAGGCAGGAAGAGGTTAGGTGGGACTTGTGGACAAAAAGAGATAACAGGGAAAAAGAAGAGAGGGGTCATGAGGAGTCACCAGCAGACACAATGGAAGCAAAAAGATGAACTTGCCATGCTGAAAAAAGGTACTGCCACATGGTAGAGCGTAGATAAGAAATATGGGCTAGTTTAAGTTGTAAGAGCTAGTTACTAACAGGCCTATGCTATCAGCTGAACATTTATAATCTATAATAAGTCTCTGTGTAGTTATTTGGAAGTGAGCTGGAAGGAAAGAGCTGACTGGCAGCCCTGAGAAGAAAACTCGGACTACACATGATATTTTAATGTGAGACACAAATTTCCACATAAAACCTGAAAAAGTTTAAAAAAGAAGTTCCAAACACACAAAAATGGAGGTAAGTGTGGCTTCCTAGTTTCACAGTCTCATGCCAGTCACAGCACAGAGACCTGTCTCCTGGCAGCTAGCCATCATGGTCTAGTGCCATGCACTAAGCTAAGCTGCACCTAGTGCTTACATAGCAGCTCAAGATCTGTTTCATGCAATCAGGGAACAATAAAGACAGATCCAGACAGAAGAAACCTCTAAGCAGGTACAGTGTTTTTAAAAATGTACATAGACTTATAAAGAAAAGGAGAAAGGGTATAGACAGTCATATAGAAATAATAGTTTAATAATTCCTTAAAAATGAATAAAGTAAAAAAAGCCAAATAACAATGGAAAATACATGGAGAGTATGGATCCTGTATGTTATTATGTTGTCTTTAATATATTTTTTTATTATTGATGAACAAGCAATAGCTGCTAAATACACTGGATTGTGGAGGATGCTGAATTAAACCAACCTAAATATTTAAAAAATGTTTTGACTTTAAAATAGATGTCAAAAGTTGTGCTGCTTTGGAAAAGAGGTTATGCTTTTGTTCCCACAGAATATGAAAGACTATGGATTCATTCAAGGTTGAAGATGATTGGGTTGGGTCGAGGAAGGCCTCCTAAAAATCCTTGCTACAGACATAAAGAAATAAACTTAGAAAATCTATGAGATACGTGATGTATATTTTACCTGCTCAAAAATAAAACAAAACATCATCTTTCTTGACTTGTGTACAACAGTGTATACATGTATTAATACAGATATGTATGTTACCTTTAAAAGCTATTGTATTTTCAGAGCAAGGGGACCAGACATCAATAAAAATGATAGCCCACATGATCCAACATTTCAGAGCAACTTTTTTTTTGCAGTTTTCTAAATGTTCTATATCCAGAACATCTTCAAGACTGCTGCCTGAGATGATCCAGCCTCACAGACTACTCTAGCCAAAACAACCATTATCCTAATTTTCTCAAGGTTACCCCAATGATCCCAACACAACACCCACAGATAATAGGAAGCAATAAAAGCAATGCTCATATTCCCAAAAGATGAGTTATAGATGTTTGTCATCATTTAAAGTGGGTGGTGGTGGTGATTATTGGTTGTAGTCAGAAAAAAAAAGCTAAACAAAGGAGTTAAATTCAAAGATCTCTTTCTAAATTAAAAAAGGGGGATATGATATAGAAATTAATAGATAAAAGGACAGATTATTGAATCTACTTTAATAAAAAAGCAACTATTAATCTTAAAATATTTTACATTGGTATGGATTTTGGTTTATTGATATAAATTTAAAGTTATTTTTGTTATTCTGTATGTAACATAGGTTACTGCTGATTTTTCCAGGACTTAGCAATTATCTCAATCTTTTCAGGGCCCCTTAAAGATGCCTTCACTTACAGACAGCAGGAAGCAGTCTAGAGAAAATAATGCCCACATTTCCAAGAGTTTGGGTGTGAGAGGCTTTTGGTTATTTGGTGGATCATGAATATTTGTTATAATTTAGGGGATATAGGAATATAGAATAAAAAGACAACTATTAATATCAGATATTTTTCATTGCCATGAATTTTGGTACAGTGAAAGAAAAAGTTATTTTTTGTTATTTTATATATATATATATATATATATATACATATATATATATATATATATGTATATTTACACTTCTTTAGGGGTATTGTGCCAATGCAGCTCATTTAAAAATGCCATATATAATTAAGAAATGAGATTATTAGTTAATCTATAATAATCAAACTTGTAGTCATATTAGGTATGTTTTCAAGATTAAATATGTGTATTTTAGACAGGTAGATAGTTTTCAAACACTTCAAAGACCTATAGAATATGGCATTTAAGCTGTTTGATAAACTAAGGTTTTTCATGACAATGAGACACATCTGATTGGCATCAAAGAAACTCCATATGGAGTTTGCTTTCAATGTGGCAAGGCTAGCCATTTGGGCTAGAAACTGTTTTGTCTTGGTTGTCTACAGTATGCTGTGCAAACTGGACATACAGGCCTGAACTTTCCCAAAACAAGGCAGAACAGAACTTCAAAATTCCTGCTTCACAGAAAAGCCTGCCAGATATTCTGCAGGACACACAGGAAAGTGTTTGATGAACTTTGACAATACAAGGTGGGACAGCACTTTAAATTTTCTGCCTCACTGAAAAGTCTGCCAGATATTTTAGGCCTGTAGGCTGAAGATGGATGGCCCAACATTACAGAGGAACTTTATGTGACTGTCCAGGCAGTCAGATATCTTTGTTAGGTAATATTACATCCTTTTGGGGTCTTTGATGGAATTAAAGACTAAATAATTAGAATTGCAGGTTTTCTTAGCTATGGTGGAAAGCAAATTAGGTATAAAACTGCACTCACTAAGATACAATAGATAATGGATTATTTTCTCTAAATTTATGAGTCACAAACGGACTGAATATTGTAAATGTCATTCTTATTTGATAACTTACAGATGCATTTAAAAACACAGAGCCAAATATATGAGTGAAAACCTTAGAGAACAGGGAAACAAGAATAGACACCAGCCAACCTTAACTCACCAGCTCTGTACCTTCCAAATGCAAGCTACTTCCTGTTTAACCTGTGCCTTTCTTGCCTTGTTTTACTGCCTTTATTGGCTCTTAGCCCAGCTATCTCACTTCCTTGTCACTGCCTGTCTGTACAGCCCTCCAGGTCTCTATGGTTGGTACTGGGATTAAAGGCCTGTGTCACCATGGTTGGCTCTGTTACCTAGTGTGATCTTGAACACACAGAGACTCTGCCTGCCAAGTGATCAGATTAAGGACGTGTGCTATCACTGTCTGACTTTTGGTTAATGGCTTGCTATTTCCTCTGATCTCCAGGCAAACTTTATTTATTAACATACAAATAAAATATCACTACAATAACTGTTTTTGTTGTATGTAGTTTTACTGTTAAAGTTAAAACCTTTCTTTTTATTCAGACAAAAAG